CTCCTACTCAATAGATTTCAGTTACCATTCAGAAAAGCGTGGAGCCAAAACCACATAAAACACACTGAGTTTCTCATTTTTCTTTTCCACAAGTAAGGAATCATTCTTCTTTTGAAATAACTATTTATTGATATCATCCTGCAAGATGGTATATTACAAGGTAGAGGGGTGCTCAAGGTCCACAGCCATCTTTTAATGTAAGTAGTTTTGGGATACATAGTACTTAAGAGGAAGATGTGAATCAGCTGTCAGCTTGTAAATCAGGATATTTTTGTTTACAAATAATAGAAAATCACATACTAACAAAAACAATGTGATGAGTTTATTGGCTCACAGAAAGAAAAATTCCAGAGATAAGGATGGCTACAACTAAGGGTGGGCTCTCCCGTGGTCACAAAAGATGCCAGCCGCTCCTTGGCTCCAAGCTTTACTGTTCATGTCGAGCAGACGTGGACTGAGTTCAGTTGTATGCCAACCCAGATCCAATTGCCTTGACCAAAGGGATAATATACACCTCTTGACTTTTCTCAGGTCAGAGCTCCATCACTAAAGCTAAAGGTGGAGAGCACTTCTGCAGAATTGGATGAAGCACCAAGTGGAAATTAGCGGGGGTTTAGTAGGAAGGCAACCAACAAAAGTCCGTATGTGACTTTAAAACTGCTTTTCACTGTTGCTCTGGTCTGCTCCATTTGGTGATAGGGTCAAAGCCATTGATGATTTCTGTAGGCCAGTTGTTCTCAAAGTGTGATTCCTGAATCAACAGTATCAGTATCCCCTTGGAATATGTTAGAATTATATATTCTTGCACCCCAACCTAGACCTAATGAACCTAGACCTAGACCTCTCCTGAGGGTGGAACCCAGCAAGCTGTGTTCTAGCAAGCCCTCCAGATGATTGTGTGGCAAGCTAAATTTTGAGAACCAATGCTCTAAGCATGTCTTCAAAGACTTTGTATCCAGCCCCCCTTTTCAACTAAGAGCACATAACTATTACTTCGTGATTTAAAGCAACGGATAAGGTTTATATTGATAGCCATCAACCTCATCTGGCCTTTTAAAACTGTCCAGCAATCTTTCTCTGAGAAGCCTACCTTCCCATAATCGGCAGTGACTATTTTGTAGCTTCTAATAAGCCAAAGCTTAGTTTACCAGTTGTACATTGCACATTAACTCTTGATTATAGTATGTTATATATTTCAGGTTTATATATATCACAACAACTTTCCAGGAGATAGCATGAAGTATTTTGAGGGATGTCCACCTTCTCATAATTTGCACAAGTCACCTATCTAGTACCATGGCTGCCTCCTTATTTACTTAAACCTTCGATTCTTGCCCTTTCTGCCCTGTCACTCCCAAGCAGATGACATCCATTGAAGTTGTCAGGTGGGGACTCACTCATCCTCTTGCTCTTATCAGCTGCTGGCATCCACAGCATGTTCCCCTTCTTCCATGTTAACTGAGGAAATGCACCTCCTCCCTCGAGAGCTCACCCCTCTACCTGCACTTGGGTCCCAGAACGATCAGCCCATCTCTAGCACTCCCTCCTTCTCTCTCACACACACATCTTTAGTAATCTCTTCATAGAGAGTTCCCTCCAGTAATCAAAGTGCTTATCTTCAAAAATCCCTCCTGTGATCCCATATTCCTCTTCAGATATAGCCGGCTCTCTATCATCATGGCCAGCCAAAAGCCATGAGTTTTCTTCTAATTGCTATCATTGTGTTCTTCTTCTACCCCTCGGAAAGTTCTCCCATCACTCATTGGTGACCTCCATTTTGTTGATCCAATGAACATTTTTCATTCTCCAGCAGCATTTTGTATCACCATGAACCATCCTTTTCTAGGAAAATGAACTCCTCACTTGACCTCTCATACTTCCTTAGCAACTTATTTTCAAGATCCCTTGCCAGCCTCTCTTCTCTCTGCCTACCAAATGCTGTAATCCTTTGTGGTCTTCTCTTGAATTCTCTTTTTCTCTCACTTTACATTTTACCCTGAATAAAGATGGGAAGTAGGGTATGGTTATCTGATTGTCACAGCACCATTTGTTGAAAACGTGACTCTTTCCCCATTGCATGGTCTTGGCACCCTTGTTGAAAATCAATGGTCACAGATGTTTATTTCTAGATTTGCAACATTATTGCACTGGTCTATATGTCTATTCTTATGCAAGTGCTACATTGTAGATTTGTAGTGAGTTTTGAGATTGGAGTTTGAGCTCTCTAACTTTGCTTTTTTTTTTCATATTGTTTTGGCTATTTGGGGCCCTGTGCAATTCCATATGAATTTGAAGATCAGCTTTTCCATTTCTGCAAGAAAGTCAATGGTTATTCTTTTTTTTAAATTTTATTATATTATGTTAATCACCATACATTACATCATTAGTTTTTGATGTGGTGTTCCATGATTCATTGTTTGCATATAACCCCCAGTGCACCATTCAATACGTGCCCTCTCTGAAACAAATAATACATTATATGTTAAAAAAAAAAAAGGATAGTAGGAAGGGAAAAAGGAAGGGGGGATTGGAGGGGGAGATGAACCATGAGAGACCATGGACTCTGAGAAATAAACTGAGGGTTCTAGAGGAGAGGGGGTTGGGGGAATGGGTTAGCCCAGTGATGGGTATTAAAATGGTTATTCTTGATAAATTTTTTTTAATAAAATGATAATTGTACACCTTCTTAGCATGATTAAAGTCAGTATCATGCTTAAAGTAGAAACACTAGAAACAGTCTTATTAAATTCAGTAACAAAATAAGGATGGCTATTATTGTTATTATATAATATTGTCTTGGATATATTATTCACTATAGTTAGAAAAAAAGAAAGTAATTAAAAATATAAAAATTAGAAAGAAGAGGTAAAACTAACTCCATTTGCAGCTAATATGATTGCATCCATGAAAAATCCAGGAGAATCAATTGAAAAACTATCACATACAACAGAAACACTCAGTTGGCAGCATACACAATTATTATAGAGAAATCAATAGCATTTGTATATACAAACAAAAGTAATTTAGAACATGTAATAGAAAAAATACCTCATTTAAAACAGCACAAAAGGATTAAAATACCTAGAAATAAATATGACTAAGAAACATGAAAGAACAACTTGGAAAAAAAAACCCAAAAGGGTCTAAAACATACCTGAGTTTGGTATGCTGAATAATAGCCCACCAGGTGTCTACATCCTAATTTCTGGAACTTGTGAATATGTTACCTTATATGGTAAAAGGAGCTTTGCAGGTGTGATTAAGGATCTTGAGATGGGGAGATCATCCTGGATTACCTAAGTGGGTTTAATGTAATCACAGGGGTCCTTGTAAGAGGGAACAGGAAGATCAGGGTAAGAAAAGAAACATATGACAAAGGGAGCCGAGACTAGAGTGATGTGCTCCAAAGATGGAGGAAGAGGTCACAAGCCAAACATTGCAAGTAGCCTCTAAAAGCTCAAGAAAGCAAGGGAGCAAACTCTCCCTCTACATCCCCTGTGCTCCCCCATTTTGATTCCTGCCCAGTGAAACTCATTTCAGACTTCTGACCTGAAGAACTGCAAGATAATAAACATGTATTATTTTGAGTCACTAAAGTTGTGGTAGTTTATTACAGTAGCCAGGAGAACACTGATAAATAGGTTCAGTGACAAAAATGACTTAGACAAGGGCAAGGTCTCTCATAGTCTTGATTAGGGAGACTCACCAACATGCAGTCATCAGTTCTGCCAAAGCTGATCTGTAAATTTACCTCAAACCCTTCAAAAATCATGCGCAGTATTAAAGCAAGAGAAAATAGCTGGAAAAAAAAGATTGACCAGGAGGAAATAGCCCTAACAGCCGCTTTCATAATTGGGCCGATGTGGATAAACAGATTTACTAATGAAATAAAAGAGAAATTTCAGAAATATAAACAAATACATAAAAGATTTAAGGATATGATAAATCTTGCATCTCAAAACAGTGGGTAACAAATAATAGTGTGAAACCAGATAATTAAAAACAGTAGATAAATTCCAAATGGAATAAGGATTTGAATGTATCAAAGTAAACTTCTGAAGTAGTAGGAAAAAGCATGGGAGTATCTTTCTATAACAGCCACTTCTGCATGCCCCTTGGGCTCTTCAGTTCCCATGAAGCAGTGGATTATCAGATCTACGTGAGCTCAGAATTACTGCATTGTGATGGTATCTCTGCTCCACATGACAACAAATATATAGGAATTTGATCAAGTTCAGTCAAACCAGCCTAACAATGATACTGGCTAAGGGCTTCGTTTACTTGGCAAACACATAACCAATGCCCTTGCTAGACATTGTTATAGCTTAACTCTTTTAATCCTCACAAAAACTTTTAAGAAGTAGGTATTATTATCCCCATTCTACAGATATGCAGATTGAGCAAAAGGAGGTTTAAATGGTCAGAGGACACAAAGCTGTCAAGTGACATAACTGGAATTTGAGGTCAGGCAGTCTGGCTTCAAACTCCAGGCTCTTAACCACTGCCCCATGTGTGTTATAACTTGATTTCTAAGTAACAGTTACAGTTGGCCCATATCTTAAAGACAGACCATATTTCTTGTTAGCAGATCTTTTTCATGGGAAGTATGCTATGTATGTGCTTGTATTTCTTAAGATACAGTGTTATCAGATTCTTTTCAGTAAAAGAAATTGTGTGCAGTTGTGGTAGGAATCCAATACTACTTAGAGCATGCATCTTGCTGTTTGGGTGTTTGTCCTCCTAGCATTTCCAGTTCCACAGGTGATTTAAGTCACAGTTCCCAAGTCAAAGATGAGAATGTTAAAGCTAAGGAGTGGTTTATGCCCACAGAGAACTCTAAGAAACAGAGGACCAAGAACACATTATCTCGCTAAATAACGGTTAAAAAATCCAGAGGGTTGTAACCCTTGCTTCCATCGTTTGAGAGAGACTTTTATCATAGTTGGTGTTTTATTTTTTTTAGAAATGTCCTATCAAATTATACTTTTATTTCTTTTTAGGATTTCATCAAGGGTCTTTCCATTTTGCTCCGAGGGACAGTTCAAGAAAAACTCAACTGGGCATTTAATTTGTATGACATAAATAAAGATGGCTACATCACTAAAGAAGTAAGAAATGCCTCACCAACACAAGTCTCCTTTGGACTGTTTCCATTTTTCTAACTTTAAAAAGCAATTGAAACTATTAATATGAAAATTGCATTTTTAAGAAATCTAAAGTATTTTATGTGGTGGTGGTGGTGAAATACTCTTAATAAAAAACTTGCAATGGATAGGAATCATTTATGGTACATCTATCTTCAAAGTGAATATAAAACACATAAGGATTGTACCCGTTTCCTAATGGCATTCAAATAAATACTGTAAATTGGATAGAGACTATGGTTGGAATCAGGAAGAAAATGTATACAAATCATGCTCGAATATTTGGCCCGTGACCTTTTTTTCTTCCAATATAATGTGGAACGAGAGACAATTTTAAAATTGCAGAGACTGCAATGACCTGTATTGTGTAGAACATGACCTGATGGGAGCGGTGGGGCCCCCAAACACTGCCAGGCAGGCTGTGCAAGAAAAAAGGTCCACAGACCGAATTAAGAAGCTCATATCAAATGGCTTATTAAACCAGTATAAAACACCATGAGAAGGGGAAAGGGATGGGGTAAGTTAACAGATTTAGGATAGGGTCCAAATGGGGCTGAAAGACATTACATGAATCCTGGGGGATCCTCCATGTTCATATCTCCCTTCTTCCTGACTTTCTTTTCCAGGAGTTTTGAGCATAAGGACCCTCAAACAAAAGGTACCCAGGGTTACTGACCTGACCTTACTCGATGAGGGACATAGAAAGTGCACCTGACCACGGGTATAGTGTGACAATTAGCCTGATCCAAGGCCATAGGTTTTGTGTTTTTTGAGCAGAAGATACATAGGGCCAGAATGTTTCGCACGAATGGATGGCTGAAGTAAGACCTCATGAATATTAAGTGTTTATGCATATCGAATATACCCTGAATAGTTAGTGCCTCTTGTACCTGGTGTACAGTACTACAGTAAATATTTAGTACTCGGATGCCTTGGAAATATTAGGTACCTCTTAGCCCTTCCATCCCTTTCTATCTCTATGTTTAACACAAACATGCCGGTCTTACACATAACACATTTCACGAATTCTGCTGAAGTCAGACAAACTTCTTGCTACTTATCTAAACTCAAAACATCTTAAAACGTTTTACCTATGACTTATACGCTATAAACTACTTTATCATTAATAAGAGAATTGAATACTCTCAAAAGTAAATGCATATTACATCTGTATTATCAACTTTAATCTAGACTTTTATATGGAAATTTTGATATGAAGGAAACAAATGTGAAATAATAAATCTGAATGTTTGGGTAATTAGATATTATTTTTACCGAGATTGAAAATGACAAGTCAAAAACTAGATTTTGTTTTAGTTAAAAAATTAATGAAATTTCAAGGAATTCCCAAGGAATTTCAATGAAATATAGCCATACTATTTTGACTAACCTACATGTGCAATTTCTTCACTTAAAGCTATAGTAGGAAAAAAAAACAAGGAAAATCCTAATAAGCTTTGAAATTTATCAGTTAGTTTTCGTATAATGCTGTTGATATGGAGTTCATTCTCGGTAAAAGGAAACTGATAATCAACATATAAGATATATAATCACTCCATAAAACAAAGATAGTCTATAGGAAGTCTATGGAAATCCAAACATTAAGCCAGAACAATTTTCCGATCATCTTGGATATGTGGGAATTTACTTATTTCATTTTGAAACCAAGATCAAAATTAATTCTTACATTCTGACCCTGCTGTTTTTAAGGCACAAAACTGTTGGCTTCTCCTCTGGGACAACCAAAAGGCAGTTAATGGAATAATAAAAAATTTTTGAAATGGAGTAGGAATAATCTGTCAGAGTGGTTTCTTCATACAGCACATGCAGCCTCATGTGAGTGCCTTCTACTTTTCAGGAAATGCTTGATATAATGAAAGCAATATACGATATGATGGGTAAATGCACATATCCTGTCCTCAAGGAAGATGCTCCTAGACAACACGTCGAAACATTTTTCCAGGTAGGATTGCAAGTAGAAGTCAGAGAGGGAGTAAAAAAGAGTAAATTTCCTAATGCTTGCAAAGTGTCATGATAATTCAAAAAAAAGCAAAAGAAAAAAAACACTTTTAATGAAAGGGACAAAACAATAGAATATTAACCATAATACTCATTTAGTAATTTTGGTTTTGAATTTATTAGAACACTGATAACTACATTTATTGAACATTCACTATATCCTAGACAGAACACTAAGGAATTGCTGTGTTTCGCATGTTTTGATGTTTGTTTTGAATAAATTCTCAAAAGAATCCTTATGGTTATAAATACTCTTTAGCCTCAATTTACAGATGAGAAAACCAAGACTGAAAGTGTCAGCAAACTGCCTGAACTGTCATAGTTAGAGGGCCAGATTATCTAGGGCAGTGATTCTAGAGGTCTACCACATTCTACTGAAAAGAGAACAGCCTAACAGCAGTTGGCCATGATTCTTTTATTTTATTTTATTATGTTATGTTAATCACCATACATTACATCATTAGTTTTTGATGTAGTGTTCCATGATTCATTGTTTGCATATAACACCCAGTGCTCCATGTAGTACGTGCCCTCCTTAATACCCATCACCAGGCTAACCCATCCCCCTACCCCCCTCCCCTCTAGAACCCTCAGTTTGTTTCTCAGAGTCCATAGTCTCTCATGGTTCATCTCCCCTGATTCCCCCCCCCTTCATTTTTCCCTTCCTGCTATCTTCTTTTTTTACACATAATGTATTATTTGTTTCAGAGGTACAGGTCTGTGATTCAGCAGTCTTACACAATTCACAGCGCTCACCATAGCACATACCCTCCCCAATGTCTATCACCCAGCCACCCCATCCCTCCCACCCCCACCACTCCAGCAACCCTCAGTTTGTTTCCTGAGATTAAGAATTCCTCATATCAGTGAGGTCATATGATACATGTCTTTCTCTGATTGACTTATTTCGCTCAGGATAATACCCTCCAGTTCTATCCACGTTGTTGCAAATGGCAAGATTTCATTCCTTTTGATGGCTGCATAATATTCCATTGTATATATATACCTCTTCTTTATCCATTCATCTGTCGATGGACATCTTGGCTCTTTCCATAGTTTGGCTATTGTGGACACTGCCGCTATAAACATCAGGGTGCATGTACCCCTTCGGATCCCTACATTGGCCATACGATTCTTATCACTAAGAAAGGACTAGCTCCTGCTCTGAAGCATTTCCTCCCTGTAAAACAAGCAGGTGGACTCTTCATCAGCTTCAGCTGTGAGGGTATCAAGGGAGGTTATCAAGGGAGGGTACCAAGGGAGAACTCTGAATGAAGTTTTTTGTTCTTTTCTTCCTGAACAGAAAATGGACAAAAATAAAGATGGAGTTGTTACCATAGATGAATTCATTGAAAGCTGCCAAAAAGTAAGTAATGGTAGTAAAGAAACTGTCCCTTTTGCTTTCATAATAGTCAGACTAAGTAGAGTCAGCTAGCCACCATGAGCTGAGCAAAGTACAATGCTGACCCAAGCTTACCATTTGTACACAGCTAAGAGAAGCCTACCACTCTGAAAAAGGGCATCAACTTATAATTCAATTAATTAACATTTATAGAGTGCCTACCTTGAGGAGAGCCATGTAGAAAGCCCTAAACGTATCAATGATACACATATACTGCATTTTTGTTTCCTAAATCCTTTAGAGAGTACTTATCACTGAGGGTTAAAACATATGTGAGATTTGAATTGCTCTTTGCCCAGACTGAGCATATAACATATTATCTCTATAGATTTAGAATTCCAGTACAGCAAAGTATACATCACAGGCCAAGTTTGCATCCAATTTCTGAAGGAAACATACTGCTTTAATGTATGAGCACCAGAAATGGCTTTTCGGCTGAACCAGTAAAGATCTTCAGTCATAAAAAATAAAGAGTGGAAAATTCAGAGGAGAAATCCAAATGGTTTTCCATTATCTGGTGGGAGACCAGCTTTAGCTTACCTAAAACTATTTGACTTGATGCATGGGTAGAGCCACAATTAAGAATAAATACTTTAAGATAAATGTAGAGACAATGAGGTTTGTTGATACTTTAGCTTTTCTAAATTGGTATACTTTCCCTTTCTTGGTGCCTCCTTGCTTCTAAACTCTTATTTCGATGTGGTGGTCTTTAAGAGCGTTAACTTGGTGACATCAACCTGCTGATGCTGTTCCTTGGCTTCTAGCACCGGAAGTCAGCACAAGTTTAGCTACTATTTACCATTACTACAAACAGCTCACCAAGTGCCATCCACAGTCTCCAAGTGCCTCTATAATGCTCAAAGTCTGTCCCCTTGTTTCTAAGGAATATGCTAAATTGAACACAGCCACTGGCCCAAGGTGGCTCTCAAAAATTCCTTCTCTGGCATTTTTAAAGGCTCCTAAAGGCCCTACAGATTTAGCCCTAACAGACCCAAAGAGAGAGGTGAAAGGACTTATAGTCATGTCTCCCAAGCCCCAACCTCTAATCCTCAATGGAGTTGGCTCTTAGCTCACCCACAAACCCTGTTTCCTTATACACACACAAGTCTCTGTGACTTGGCCCGCGATCTACCTGGAATGCCAAAATTCGCATTTGCTCACTTATTTTTGGTCTTACCCTCAGCGCCTCTCTAGTTTTCATTCTGCCATTCCAATTTGAGAAATATTTTCTATTAACACCAAGTAAGATTCAAATGAAATATTTAAAGCCTGCAGACTCAACAAAATGTAAAATGGGCTCTCCATACTTATCTGTATGGAAAATGGATAGGATGATATTTATATTTGCAAACACTTAGTATTCGAGCTTTTGGCCTAAGCAGTGGTGGGAGAGGCAGTACGCAGAGGCAAAAAACAGTGTCCCTTCACTTACAGAGATACTTAATTTAATCCCACTGTGTTTCTCCCTTACAGGATGAAAACATAATGCGCTCCATGCAGCTCTTTGAAAATGTGATTTAACTTGTCAAATGCATCCTCAATCAAACAGACAAATGTGAACTATTCTACCACACTTAAAGTTGGAGCTACCACTCTTAGCATAGATTGCTCAGCTTTACACTGAGGCATATTATGCAAACAAGCTTTGTTTTAATATAAAGCAATTCCCAAAAGATCTGAGTTTTCCAGTTACAAATTTTCATCCTTTTCATAATGCCACTGAGTTCATGGGATGTTCTAAGTCATTTCATACCCTGTGACTATTCAAAAGTAATAGAATCTGGCATATAGTTTTATTGATTCTTTAGCCATGGGATTATTGAGCTTTCACATTATCAGTGATTTTAAAATATCAGTGTTTTTTGCTACTCAACTGGATGTATTCAGCCCCAGGATTTTAAATGGTTTTCTAAAATATTGGCATCTGCATTTAATTTCCAGAAATTAATTTTCATGTTTGTATGCTGTAATTCCATTTATACACTAAGTAAACAAAACAAGATTACTATAATTAAAAAACAAACAAACACAAAGTCCCAGTTTCTATGCATTTGCCGCCTTCTGTTAAAGATATTCATTTATCTGGCATTTTTTATAACATGAAATAAATTAGTTCATCACCAGATGTCAGCATATACCTAATAAAGCTTATTTAATAAGCATTTCTTAATTTTTCATAATACATATTACAGCCAAGGCCTACATGATGTATATAATTTTGGATTTGTCCAATTCTACAGGTTGACTGTTTTCTATTGTGTCATTAAGTGGAGGTCCAAGAAGGTGTGGAACAAAGCAAAGATAAACGTTTATAGGCTCAAGGGTCAAGATATCTGCCCTCCAGTACATGGTAATACTTAATGCCAAGTAATTCCTAACAGCATTGAAGGCCTATTCCGTCCCCTTTCCCTTGACTCCTTCAAGGTACCTTTCTTTTTACACGCCATTCAGGGCCAAAGGGACCTGGACTACCCCAATACCTACAGGGAACAAAGAGTAAGCAGAATTCATTTTAAAACCATCAGTGAGTCCATTCTATCAAGAACTACAGTACCAAAACCTCACTGAAAATGAAAATAAATGCCAAGCAATTCATCTGGACTGTATTATGATTTTGCTCATCATAAAACTCCAATACTTCAGATTCTTTTTAATGATCATAAGCCAAAATTGTAAAGTTGCCACAACACTACTAAGGATACACACACCCTCCCTGTTTTGCAGAAATCTCATAAAGACCAAGAGGCTACAGTAGGAGGAAATTTGCAACTGTCTTTGCAACAATAAATCAGGTATCTATTCTGGTGTAGAGATAGGATGTTGAAAGCTGCCCTGCTATCACCAGTGTAGAAATTAAGAGTAGTACAATACATGTACACTGAAATTTGCCATCGCGTGTTTGTGTAAACTCAATGTGCATTTTGTATTTCAAAAAGAAAAAATAAAAGCAAATAAAATGTTTATAACTCTACTGTCTATGTTATAGGTATTTATTCCAACAAGTTTTATAAGTACTAGATTAAAAATACTGTTTTTCTTATGGCATTGTAGGATTGTACATATCTTTGCCCTAGGGTGGTGCTAAGTACAGTGAAGAAAAGTAAAAGCAAGGCCCGTGGGCAGGCACACATTTTAGCTGATAGGATCTGAGGATGTGACAGGTGAGTAGAGACCTAAGAAAAGAATATCCCAGAGAGGAGGACCAGGAAAGACAAGAACTCTGAGGGATGCACGGGCATTTCTGCAATCATGATTCTTCAGAAATTACTTGTTCTTGTACTCTTTTATTTATTTATTTTTTTTAAAGATTTTATTTATTTATTCATGAGAGACAGAGAGAGGGAGAGAGAGAGAGAGAGAGGCAGAGGGAGAAGAGGGAGCCCGATGCGGGACTCGATCCCAGGACTCCGGGATCATGACCTGAGCCGAAGGCAGACGCTTAACCATCTGAGCCACCCAGGCACCCTCTTGTACTCTTTTAAATTCCAGCTGTGAGACTGTATCTGAAATGAGAATTACAAAGAGGTCATTCCACATATTTGAGGGATGGAGCAAAGAAGGTGTTCTTCAGTGGTGCTGAGATGTATGGCTGTTCCCCCAAATAAAAGAGTGACCCCTGATCTCCGTCCCTCCAAAAATATATCTGCTTTGGACTTGGTGTGACTACTCACGTCCCTATGGTCTCCCTTCTTGCCCTTAGGATGGAGAATCTTATTCCTGTTTCCTCTTTCTCACTCTATTCCTCTCTCTTGTACAATGATCCAGGGGCAGCTTCTACAACGTCATCACTGAGAACTATGCCTATAAAGTAGGTTTTAAAAGCTTTTTAAATTAAATTAATTGTTAAACATAAGCAAACACAACAAAATCATTGGGTACATTTTAAGAGTTTTAAGATTTTAATTTCTGAATACCTTCATGAAATGAGTATCAGACTATGGGATACAAAAATAACATTTACTTAAATGTAATTAAATATAATTAACACCTAAAGTTCAGGTAGTTTTAATGAGTTGTAATAAATAACATATTTACAAAAGAATTTATACACTTTAAAAAACGTCTTAAACTAGAATACTCTGGTATGAAATTCTTCCAAGTATTCTCTATCATAAAATACATATTTACAGACAATAATTAACAGTGAATTCACAAATGTCTGTCCACTACTTTAAATTTCCATTGCCTTAATATAAAACCCAAGAAATGACAAAACATTTAAAAATAAGTGCACAGGTACAAACTGATCGTGAAAGGGATACTATAAATAAAAGGCACTGGAAAATAAATACAAACACATCTACTATAAACCCAATAATGGTTGTTCGCACCAAACTGTAAAAATACGAAAAACCAACCCCACAAAATTGTACTATTATAGAACTGATTTTAATAGCTTTCCATCATTGACGATTCTTTTTTTTTTGTTGATGAATAACTTTTACTATGATTCAGTGGAACTGTGTATACTCATCTTAATCTAGGAAATAATGAATGGTGACTGTGACTGACAAAAGAATAAATGGAAGTGAATCTGAAAAGGTTCCCTAGGTACCCATGGTCAGCATTTAACACCTGTCACCAGGGAGTAACAAGATTTTTGTGGGCTCCCTTCTTCAACAGCATATGGAGCAATATGTTGGAATTTTAGATTTGATGATGATAAGGCTTCCCTGTCAACAGAAAAAAAATTAGCTTCATTAGTATTGTGTAGGGTTCCCCTGATAGGTATTACATCTATAAGAGCATGCCTAAAAAAGTATCCAAAACTCAAAACAAACAAAATGGAATGAGAACAAAATGATGGAATGAGAAATGGAACTTTTTTGTGAGTTGAGTAAAATATAGGTTGTCTCTTACTACTGTTTTAAAAAAATATTTAATTAGAGAAGTAGGTAGGAACCAGGTCACCAGTACATGAATCCAGCTTCTGCCAGTCACTTCACTGTCAAATCTGGGGCTAATTATTTCTGAGCCTCAGTTTCTAGATTTTTTAAAGGGGATAATAACAAAATCTAGCCCTGAGAGCGGCAGTGAGGATTCAACGACTTTAATGTCCAAAAAGTATTCAACTGAGGGGCACATGGGTGGCTCAGTTGGTTAAGCATCTGCCTTCGGCTCAGGTCCTGATCTCAGGGTCCTGGGATCAAGCAGGTGTGGGGCTCCCTGCTCAGCGGGGAGCCTGCTTGTCCCTCTCCCTCTGCCCCTAGCCACCACTCATTCTCTTTGTCTCTCTTTCAAATAATTAAATAAAACCTTTTAATAAATTAATAAATAAAAATAAAAAGTACTCAGTTGAGTCCCTGACATGTAATCACTTCCCACGTGCTTAGTCAAGATTGGGGTGTGTCCAGGTATGTACCTTTTCCAAGAGAGACGTGCCTATGACTTAGGATGAAAATTTCATCAAGGTAAGAATGAACTGACTACTATTTAAGGCAGGTAATAAGCTGATCAGTTGTAAGAAAATGACACTGTGCCTGGAGCTCAATTTCCTGTCTTCCCAGAGGTTGAGTGCTTCCATCACTGGCGGACACACAAGCCCCAAGAAATGAGAAACTGCAATACTGAGAAGACTCTTTTAAAGACTCATCTCTATTTATTTAAAAAAAGAGAAACATATATAGACATTTAAGTTTTTTGTAGGGAAAGAAGGGCATTTGTTAATTTCATGAAGGATTAGAGTACCAAAAGCAAGCATAATGGTCATTAGGCCACCAGAAAGTGTGATCAATTATTATATTAATGGTATGCCAACAGAAAATTTCTGATCAAATATTATTATTAAATTATTAAAATATCATGTAAGACATTAGATGAACAAGAAGAGAAAAAATCTGAAGGAATAAACAATACTTAATTTCAAAATGTTTTTAATTCTGTCTGTATTAGCAGGATTCAAAACTAATGAGACTAAGTGGCAGTTAAGAGTAACTCCCTTGCTAGCTACCCCTGTGGCCCTGGGCTGGAGATCAACATCCCTCTGTGTTCCCCTCCAAATCTCAGAATGCAGTTTCTAAAGTTTATTTACTTGAAGACTATGCCCTCCTCTGCACATTCACCCTTGAAATCTAACATGTTGGGCCTGTCCCTTTCCTCTTGCCCCATTCCACAGAATATGTGAAAATATCCTGGGGAGAGTTTCAGATTGAAAGCTTTGCCATCAATATTTAGCATCTATTTACTTGCATTTCACAGGGGAGGAAATGACAAATTATTTTGCATTCCAATTCTCAGAAGCGCATTTGCAAGCAAAAAGATTTCTGCTGAGACACTGGGATGGCTGGGGGATGGTTGTGTACATCTCAATAAGGTGTCTGAATGCTAATCCTCCACACGACAAAGAAATCTGTTATCTAGTGGTCTAGGGACTTTCTTCTTCCTCCTAAACTTTATTCTAGGCATTCCTCATGGAAAGAATATAATGTATTTTAACAGTGACTGGAACTGGTCAAATTAGGTAATCTAGACAAAGCTTAAACTAATACATCTGCCATTTTAAAACTGTATATGATCACACATTATTTTCTATATAATTCCTTTAGAAAGTACCTCCAATGGAACTAAGTTCTTCAGTGTTAAAATAATCACATGCAACCCTATCATTAAGATCTAATTAAATGTAATCTCCAAAACAAGGTAGAATCACTGCTTTACAGAAATACTTCCAAGACTAGATTATGTGAACACTTCTTTAAACGATGAAAATTCAATTAACTTAGTTATTTGACACCACACAGATACTAATGAGAGCCCCCCCATTCTTGCACATTCCTGCAAGTCAGCACACTCGGATTCATTCTTGTGTGTGTATGCGTGTGCATACACATGTTCCTGAACATGTGTACTTCCAGACATGGTATCACAGTCATGTGGAAATCTCATTCAATCTTGGAAGATGGGAAAATTGTAAATTTTTTAGACAAAAAAGATGGCAAATGAAAGAAAATAAAAGTATGTTCTTCAATGAGCTCTTTTATAGTAATCCTTTTGTTTTCTGAACTTTCCTATGGTCTAAGCAAAAACATCCAAAATAAAAAAAAACTGCAAATCTGCACCACATGGAGTGTCGTATAGAAAACACAGAGAAAGCTTAGGGGCCCAGCATTTACACAGTTTGGTCTGAATCCCAATGCTTACAAACTGTGACCTCTGCAAGCCAGAAACTGTGAGCTCTCAAATGAAAATAATATCAACTCCACATGATTTCTTGTGGTTGAAATAACACGTTATACAATTTTGTAGTGTAAAAGTAAAAAAAATAAGACAAGGAATAATGTTTTACTTACATTTCCACCATGCTGCTCTAGCTTCTGTAAAGCACTAGTGATTGGTTCTTTGAATTTCTTATCCCTCAGTCTCTTGGAAAGCTTTTAAAGTAAGATTGGGAGAATGAAATGATTTGAAAAGTAACAATATTCACCATAGGCGTAAGTAAAACTTCACTAAAAAGTATGCTAACTAGAAATAAAACCACTGAGACCTTACTGTATAGAAGTATCTATTAATATATTATTAATATAATATTAAATATATTATTTAATACGTTTTAGACACCAAGGCTTCTTTTAGAAAATATTGCGTTGAAATTTATATATAATAGACACCATGTATTTGTTAAAAGCAAATTCACATTATTTCATTTCAAATTGTACGAATCCTGTAAAACCTGCTACAGTATGGTGTCCAGAGTAAGTTTTCTATGAAACTGCGTACTCTTCCATTTTGTATTTTGCAAGCACTTGGCGGACCATGATGGAAAGCTAAGCCTCTTAAAACACATGTTTCCTATAGTGTAAGAAAGGAAAGAGACAAAAAGGAGAGAGCATTCACATGAATGACTCTGTAACAGTGACAGTTATGACATTCAGACTACAAACCACAAGACCACCTGTCCCTAGGCATGGCTTGAATGGGCTTCAGATAGAAAGGTGGCAGTCTGACTGAAAAGGGAGAGCCCAAGGTGAGGGAGGATAGAATCATAGGAACAAAGGGGGAAAAACAGCAATTGAGATCATCAGGCACAACCTATAACAGTGTTCTCCCACCAAATGTCTACATTACTCAACTCCCCCACTAAACATTTCAGCCTAGAGCAGGACGCGCTTATGGCTCCACTTTCTGGGAATACAAATGAAGCCCAGGCAAGAATTAGTCAAATACTTATACGGGCCTGTCCTCGACTTGGTTTCTGGTTCTTCCTCTTCATAGGGATGGAAGAAACCCAGGACTGCTTCCCACCACTGAGCACTGAGTAGCAAGCCCTTCAGTCAGGTCAATGAAGATGAGGGAGGGTCAGAAAAATCCCCAAAAGAAAAAAAATGTGATGGGCCACCTGGGTGGCTCAGTCGTTAAGCGGCTGCCTTTGGCTCAGGTCATGACCCCAGGGTCCTGGGATGGAGCCCCGCATCAGGCTCCCTGCTCGGCGGGAAGCCTGCTTCTCCCTCTCCCACTCCCCCTGCTTGTGTTCCCTCTCTCCCTGTGTCTCTGTCAGATAAATAAATAAAATCTTTAAAAAAAAAAAAGAGATAAAAAAAGAAAAAAATGTGAGAAAAGCAACTCTAAATGAGAGGACAGGCAGCCCTGGGGATGGATAAGAGAAAGGGCCTCTTGGGGCACATGGGCGGCTCAGTCAGTTGGGCTTCTGACTCTTGACCTCAGCTCAGGTCTTGAACTCAGGGTCTTGAGTTCAAGCCCCTCATTGGGCTCCATACTGGACATGGAGCTTACTTGGAAAAAAAAAGGAGAGGAGAGGGGAGGGGAGGGGAGGGGAGGGGAGGGGAGGGGCGAGGAAAGGAGAGGAGAGGAGAGAAGAAAAAGAAAAAGTGCCTCTTGCAAAATTAGATCTTTGGTTTGATTTCTGCAGACCCCATTACCCGGGAGCAGTGGCTTATGGGCAGATCCATGAAGCACCACCTCCAGGATCACCTGATACACTCATTCAAAAAGTAGATTCTAGGGTCCTACCTGATACTTAACCAGAATCTCAGGGCAAAGGCCTAACTTCTGCATTTTCATCAAGATTCTCAGGTGATTTATTTCTCTTTCACCCAGGGTCAGTAGAAGTTTGAGTTGAAGCTAAGAAAGGATTTGACTTATTTTGAATATGAGTGAAATGATTTGTAAATGGGCTCAGTAACTGGTTTTGAAATTCTTTTTCTAGTCAAGGAAACCCTTCAAATAACATCTAATGCAGAGGTCTATAAACAAAAAATATGTAAATCAAAATGAGTCTTTCTGGCTAAAAGGGGTAAGTGAAGTAAGGAGGGAGTACCAAAGCACCTCAATGGATCCTCAGGGGTGCCTGTCTCATGGTGGTGTGTAGCTAACAGACCAAGATTTACTCCCACATGGCCTATTGCCGAGGGTCTCTCTTCTATGGAATCCAACCAGCATACAAAGGCCAGTGTGGTATCCAGATCCTCCCGAAGTGTTGACACTCCAGGAAGGTAAAAGGCCCCTTTAAGTCAGTCCAGTGTAAGAAAAAGCAGGGTTCTGGGGAGGAATGTGAGTGACCAAACATTAATGCTACTGCCCCAGAAAAATTAAAACAAACAAACTTACATAGTTTAGCTGTTAATCTGGCCTTTATCTTTCTGCACTGGTGGGTGGGACTGGGAGGCTATTTAGGAAGCGGAGCTTCTTGGCCTTACTCAACTTCGAGTGCGGGGAAGGATCCAGTGTGATTCCTTTTCTCTGTGTATCAGATCCCCTTCACCTCATTCCAACCTTCTCAGTGGATATCCTTGCTACTTATTTCTCCAAAAAAAAAAAAAAAAATCTCCCTAAGGGCAGACGGCATATCGTTTTTTGTTCAGCATTATAGTCCCAGTGCCTATAGCATAATACTTGGCACAAAACTGGAGGGCAGAGGGCAACAGATTTGTTAAAATGTTGATTGTCTGACTGCAGCAATCAATCTAAAATGAGTCATTTTATTTATTAGGGTGAAATTCCTGTGGTTAGTCAGGTACAACTTGCTGACCTAAACATTATAAGCAAAAACCTGCCAGGATTCTCTTCCTTCTCTCCAAAGGCTTCCCACATATTATTTGAGAGTCTATTCCCACTGTGTCTTCTCCCCATTAAACACCTGGTGCTGGTGGGAATTCATCTTCCACCATTCCTAACCCCAGCATAGCAATCCTGATAGATTCACTACCATCCCTACTTTCTATAGGCTTGGCCAGATGTTTCTGGGGTGTATTAGTCTCTCTGAAGAGTAAGAAGTTAAAAATACAGTTCTAGGATCTCTCAGATGGATGTGTCTAGGAAAAAACAGTGGAACTATGATCGAAATACATGCCTCAGCTCTGAACTACAGAAGGATGCACATAGAGAAATGCTAGCTGTGGGTTATTCCAGCAAGGACTTTAATGGTTTATCAGTGTGTGCAGTAAAGGATTAACTTCGCCTAAAGAAAGGATTGGCCCTTGTCCCTGGCTCCTAGATGGACACTTCTAAGCCCTTGGTATGACCTGCCAGATAAGAGTATCTTTGTTTCGGGGCGCCTGGGTGGCTCAGTCGTTGAGCGTCTGCCTTCAGCTCAGGTCATGATCCCAGGGTCCTGGGATTGAGCCCTGCATCGGGCTCCCTGCTCAGCAGGAAGCCTGCTTCTCCCTCTCCTTCTCCCTCTCCCCCTGCTTGTGTTCCCTCTCTCGCTGTGTCTCTCTCTGTCAAATAAATAAAATCTTAAAAAAAAAAAAAAAAAGAGTATCTTTGTTTCCCCGGGGGGCCTTGGGCCACAGGATCTCAGCTCAACGTCTAGAGAGGCCAAAGACTAAGGTCAGCCATGCAAGCAGCCAGTCATGCTGGCACGGCAGGCCCCTAACATGAACCCTGGACAGCACGCTAAGGTGAGGTTCTCGGTATGGTAATACCCTATGTGTGTTGCCACATATCCCTGCTGGAAAAAGCCAGCACTGTCCACACAACTCTCCTGGGGAGAAGGACAACTGGAGGCTCCACACCTGGTCCCTCCCAGGCTCTGCTCTATGTACCTCCTTCCTTCGCTGATTTTAACTGGTATCCTTTCACTGTAATAAACTGAAACAGTAAATAACAGCTTTTCTGAGTTTCATGAGTCCTCTAGCAACCTAAGGGTGGTCTTGGGAAACTCCTGAACTGTCTAATATCCCACTCTGTACTTGTCCTCAGGATTAAACTACACACAACAGGAAAAAGTCTCACTCTGAAAGGAAAAACCAAAGAAAAAGATGAAAAACATGGCTGTGGCAATGCACAATCACACAGGAGGGTGTATAAGCCGTCCTTATAATTCACGGCTAATCAACATAGGCATAATACCATGTACTGTCCATTAATTTTTGTCCATTCAACTTTTGCTTGGTTTTTCTTACAACCCTAAATTCTGCTCCTGTAGGTGCTTTCCATTAAAAAAAAAATTAAAGAGAATACTGTACATTTGTAAAATATTTTATGAACTACTAGGTTTTATCTATATTTTTTTAAAGAATGATTAGTTTTTTTTAAGATTTCTGAATCAGTTAATGATTAATTTGAAGCCACTGAATCATGACGAGATAGTGCATGATACACATTGACAACCATTCTCTCATCTTCTCAGTACTTACACTTGTAAGCAGATGTTTAAGATGGTCATTTAGAGATGGACCGACAACGACACTCAGCTGCACGAGAGCATTCAGTCCTCTTGCAAACACTTCATCATCCAGGTGGACCTGGGGGGTTAGTTGGGACAGGAAGGGAAAGAGGAGAAAAGGAAAGTTAAGTAAGAAGAAAGGTCAAACCAGAAAAAAGTAAGATTGAACATTCAAAATCAGAAGATAAGCAACTAAACCCAGAATGAACCATTAATGCCAGACCATCTAGAAACAAAAAAAATAAATTTCCGGCTTGACTGAAACACTAGCTAAACCATATTGCAGCATGCAGCAAGCCTGATGTGAGGTTTATTACTCTAATTACTCAAAATGTCCCCTTTTATCTTTCGTATATCCTCTAAAGGTGTCTTCAAATAAGTAATCATCTGTCCCTGAATAATGGTGGCCTAATTTTGCACGCACATCAAAATCACAGGTAAAGGACCAATTTGCATATAATTTGGAAGAAAAAAAGACATAAAATATTCTAAATGTACCACAGAAAGTCCAAAGGAATAGAGGATACCAGAGCTGCCTTTAGCGCAGGAATCAGTCTTGGAAGCAAAGGTACAGCTTTCTCAGGAGCTCCTTGGATCAACAGTAATTCTCTAAAACCCTCCTTTGACACAAAGGTGTATGGATGTTTAGTCTCTCTCAAACCCTGACAAAGAGAAAACAAACAAACAAGACTTATTACGCACCTGGTTATGCTAACAAAATTAAATCCTCACTAGTCTAAATGAAAATCAAGTTTTATTATGGTTTTCCTAATCATGATTTATAATTTCAGTAATTACGATTTCAATTAAACCCAGAAATTGTGGAACAAAGGACATACATGAGACAGAAAGAATTTCTACCCACAGCAAGGAAGAAAAATGTTTTAAAAATGAAAGGAACAGGAAAAAGGAAAGGAAAAGCAAAGGAAAAATAAAGGAAATAAAGAAGAGAAAGGAAGGAGGGAAGGAGAGGAAAGGTAAATAAATAAAAGAAAAAAGAAAAAGAAACCCTAAGGTACTAAAAGCATTTTGTATATACTCCCAAATACTGCCTGAAAGCACAGCAACTCAATCTCAAATGCTGGTTTATAACCACCACTTTATGGACATAATTATCGGAACTCCTACCTTTATGGTGACTTTGCAACTTGTTCAACGAGTTTCTAAAATATTATATTTCCTTCATATTTAAATATTTTACATTAACGTATTTTAAAACATCTTTTCCTATGTTCAAAAACCACTGTAAGATTTTAAATGTCATTTTTAACTTTGGGATGTGAAATAAAAATATGAAAAAAAACCTGTATCATTTCTTTCACCCTAAATGCATCAGAAACTATTAGTACTCTTTTATGATTTAACCCATCACTTTGAGTCAAGATAGAAGGGCCATCTGGCTTTTTTTAAAAACATCAAACCAAAAAAAGCAATAGCAATACTCCCTCAGTTGGACTTATTATTTTCTGTGAATAAGTATAAGTGGCTACAAAGTCATGCTTAAAAATACTAATTTTCAACCAATTTGTCCTTTTGGACCAGACCATCTGCTTCCAAATAGTGATTAAACACTTCCTTTCCTGGATGCTCTTGAAAACTGTGCTGCCAAGCACACCAGCACCACTTTGGACCACCAGTTCCAGCATCTTAAGAGTGCCCCTATCCTCCTATCCCATTCATTTTAGAGATGAGGAATTAGATCAAGAGGTGAAGTGGATTCCCATAGTGGTGGTCCAGTCAGTACTTACCCATTATTAAATGAGTAGAGGGGAAAGCTAAGAATCTACCCAACACAGAAATAAAGGCATTGGTGTTTGGAAAATAATTATTTAAAGGTCTGACCTTTATGTGATCTTCACTAAACACAGACTCCCTGTAGGGACTCCCCAGATTAAAGCACTCCCCTCCCCTTGTGATTAGCTGGAGCATGTTTTCAAAGGTGTCACTATGGTACTGATTCATCTAAAAAACAGTTTAAAATTCTTAAAAGAACAAATGAAATACTGATATATTTTAAGTTTTTAATACCAAGTTTAAAAGACTTTAATCAAAATTGAATTTCAAAATAGGCTACCCATAAAAATATACTTTCATACCAAAATGATTTTGCAATAAATTAAAAATAAAAGACAACAAAAATGATCCTTAGCTCTTAAAAAAGACAAGTATCTATAACTTAAATATAAAACAACGGGTTAATTCATTTCTCAACTTGTGACTCTAGCAAAAGGAACAAATTTCACAAAAGAGATCATTGATTCACCCCAAGCTAATACTCTGCCAACTTTTTCCTGATATAAATGTTAAATAATATAAAGGAATTTATCAGAAGTTTTCCTAAAATCCTCTACCAAAATGATGTCCATGATATTCTACTTAAAATATAAAGGCAGGCAAAAGTCCAGAGAATTCTCCAAAAGGACGTTTACGTAGTTAATATCAGTTCCCTAAGAAACATCACGTTCACATTAAGCATGACTGGTTGTATGGAAATAGATCAACCACTCACTGTTATTTGATGTAGTTTAAGTTAAACTGCTAATGTTCTCCTGATATGATTAGTTCCATATGATTCTAAGTACTTTTATTTTTGGAATTAAGTATGAATATTTCATCCACTTACCTACAAATCCCTGTGTAGACGAACTTGTTTATAAACCCAATTAATCAGTTCCTAATAAACATACACTGATGATAATTAATTCCTAAGGGAGTGTGGTATTTTAATGACTATTGCATGGCTCTTATTTCAAAAGTAAAGAATAAGATTTACTGATGCATTACAAAGTAATATTAAATACAATTTTTAAAGTTCTTTTTTTCCACAAACATTCAGATGAAATGGAATATACATTTACCTCAGCTAAAGTAATAAGAAGAGGATCAAATGGAAGATTTTCAGGAGGACACTCCCACTGTAATCTGTGTTTCACTGAACCATGGACCAATCTAAAATAATAAACATCAGTGAACATAATATGGACAATGTAATTATATGGTAAGCAGTAATTATGAAATGATATTACAAAGACATCTTATGCAGCAATGTCTATAATCCCACAAACCCCTACTCTTTCGGCAAAATTGTTTGATGGCAAAACTAAGCTTCATATTTGTTAAGCCTACAGTTTCAGAGCTCAAGCATGCTGCTGTCTGTGAGTCTTAATACAAATGCTACACTTGACATGTTTCAGTCATATTTATAACAAATAGATAACCTACAGATGTGCAAAGAAATGTGATAATGAGAAATAGTAACTTGTTTTATACAGAACATTATTTTTCAGATAATAGATCACTTAACCCTAATGATCTGTAACATTCTCAACTTCTCGACACCTTCTTTAGCATCATTTTCTTCATAGCAAGAGGCCTTGATAACATTTTTATTATTTTAGCAACCATAATTGCTTGGAGTGGGAAAGGGGGGTATAAGAACCTTAAAATACAGTTTCACCTCAAAATGTAAATAAAAAAATACTAACAATAAAATGAAGAGTGCTTCTTGAGCTTATTCCTCCAAATCTGCAAATACCATTAAAAACTACATTTCTTGAATTTTAGAACAGAAAAAATGTTGTGATTACTCTTTTCACAATTAAAATGACATTTTCCATCATCTAGAACAGTCTAAAACTGGATATACTTAGAAGAAATAAATGTTTCTTGGTAGTGAAATCTTAAAATGGTATCACTCTATTAGTAACTATATTGTTTTCTTTAAAACAGTTCTGATGTATATCCTGAAAGGTGGCAAAAACTGTATGAAAAGTGAGCAAAAACAGCTGTATGTACTCATTTAGAAATATAATTTTTGAAACTTTTGAAATACCATTTCAAAAAATAATGGAACAGTTTCATTAAATTGTCAACTTTCAGTTTACAAACAAAATAGGACTATTTATTTGCAACTTGTCCAAGCCTGTGAAGGCTTATATTGTTTCAGAAACTGGTTCATTCAATTTCTTAAATTATAGATCTATTGGTAATTCTATTCTGGAATTAAAATGATCTTCTTCAACAATGTCCCACGATCTATACCAGTCCAACAGCCAAAGCATGAATAAGTCACCTTTATTTCAACCTCCTTAGTAAATAAAATTTTCAATACATTTAAACTAACTACTGTTATTGATTTTACTCAATTATTTCGAATAATATGGTCATTTATAACCTGTATTGATTTTACCTGCAAGGAATACCTCCTTTAGAGTAAATGGCTGCAAATGCAGAAGGAGCTCGTGACTGTTCACCAAACTGAAATAAAAAACGACAAGAATACGATAAATATACTATCACCTCCACTTTGTGATGATACCTAATCAATTTTAATCCTGCTGATGTCAGAGGCGAATGGACATCCTGACTTTCAACCCATGACACTGGTATCAAATGCATCACTCTACTCAGCAACACAACTGAGGAAAATTACCAATCCTCTCAGTACTGGAACCACAACCACACATTCTGTATTTCGTTTACACCCCTAACTTGTTTCAGGAGGCTTGAAGGCAGCTGGAATCACATGTATAGTAAATATAATATAGATAAAATACTATTAAGAATGAACATCACAAATAAATATAATAAAGGCAATACATCTTTCTACTCTCCACCGCTGTGACCTTTCAAGGTGAGGGGTCCGTGGACAAGAAGAAGTAAGTATAGGGAAAGCAGATTTGTTTTCAACCTCCAGCACATCTCCTACTTGTCCTCCAGGCAAATAGAGATGTCTGGATGGCCAGAGAACCTGTAATTTCCCCGAACTTGTTTTATGCTTCTCTAAAAAAGAAAGGCTTAGGATGGGCAGGGGTGATAGAACTGAAGATAGAGCAAGGCTCTCACAAATATATGCCTGGATGTATCTGCTCAGATACAGAACTTCACAAGTTTCAGTTTGTCTATGTATTATCTTAAGAATAAATTAACTCTATTCCCAAAGACCATGTAAGAGGTGATCGAGCACAACAGTTTAACAATCACAGCATACATAATTTCAATACAGTTGATCAGAGACATAGATAATTTAGGCACAAAAAGTAAATATTTTATCACATGGTACTTCGAACATAATCAAATGAAATATAGTTGTCTAAATTACAAAACACAAACTTTCCTATTTTAAAGATAAAACTGGCTACACAATATTTTAAAATCACATGCAATAATTAAAAAATATATTTAAGGGTATAAGTTTAGAATTAGCTCTTTTTCCTCCGGAAAAACACGTTTGAAGTTAAAACACATAGATGAAATTTCATTATCATACAATATTATAGTAAGATTCATTTACAAACTTCAATCCACATTCTGCATAATAATTCACAGAAATAGTAATGTTTCATTCATCTAATTATAACTCCTACTAAGAAAAATATGTTTTAAGAACTGTTTTCATGTAATCTTATTAAATAAGGGAACTTGAAAAATATTCTTATAATGGGGGAAAAATTAAGACAACTTAGGGCCACAGACACTTTTTTTAGTTCTAGCACCTATTAGCAAATGATCTTACTTTTTGGACCTACAGGTCATGTAAATAATCCCTAAATTTCCAAAACACCCACCAAGACAAAATTTCTGATTGAAATTCTAAGCAATTCCTTTCCTTTTCTTTTTAGTTCGTTTTAGAGATAATCATAGTTTCATCTTCCAGGTCGCTCATTATCAAAAATGTTTTTTCTACCAATGGGTTCATTTTATCAATTTTTACCAAATTTTACCAAAATTCTATTACCATGAAAAAAACTGTTATCCCTTCAATTTTTAACAATTATCACGGACCACATTTCAACTCTAAAATAATCAATATTATTAAATATACCCCACTATACTGAGTTACATTTTTTTTTTTTACATTCAAGACCAGTGAATTCTCCAAAACAAACAGTGGTATAACAACACTCAGGTGTGGAAAACCTGAATGTTACCAGCACCCTAGAAACCTCCTCAGTGCCTCATCCCAATCCCTAACTACCTCTTCCCCCAATGGTGAACTCTAACTGACTGACTTTGGATTGGTAGCTTTTACAGATCTTAGACATGGTCTTGTATAATATACTGTATTCTCAGGTCAAATCATTATTTCTCAAAACTTTCCTTCATTTTTAATAAAATTTAAAATTAGGGCTACTTATATTACTACTTAAAAATGTTCTTCAAAGAGAGGAAGAAGACTCAAGTGTCACCATGAATTCTCCCAACTAGCAGGGGGAAAGAAGCAAGAACAAGGAGATAGCAGGGCATTCTTCAGGAATTCAACTTGACACTGCAGATTAAAGAAAGCAGCAAGGGAACACATATGCTTACACTATTTTTCATTTGTAAAGTCAGACAATCTCCTCTGCCCTTGGCCAGTTCATTGTATCCTTGCTGTATTTTACCTGCCATCAAAGTCAGTGTCTCAGCCACTCTCCTAATTCCCTTTAAAGGCTGAAACCATGATCATCTTAATCTATGCAAGGCTGGGCAGACACCACCTGGTGTTGCAGCACAGGTTTGCTCACTTTCTGGATAATTCACTGATCCACACACTTATAATTATTCACTTCCATGGGCATAAATCTCATGTTTGTTAAATCTGATTAAACTGCTGTCAGAAGACAAAAGGAGGCTAGTACTGTAGTTGGGATTTCTGGGGGAGCTAATTTATAGATCATAGCAACATCGTCAGAGATGTTTATGCAACTATGGAAGCATGTAATTCATCCTATGTCAATTGAATACAAGTTTATTCGTTGATATTAGGAACTAACAGAACTATAGTAAATAAAAAATAAAGCAGATGTGCAATTTATTTTATACTCTAGTACACTCATCCATGAATGTGACAGGATATACCACAACTGGTTAATCTCTATACCTTCTCACTTCCACACTCACATCATTATTTCCATTCTTCATCATGATTACCATATGCTCTGTCACTAGCCTAAATGTAACAAAAAAAAATTACAAACAAAAGGAACTTGGGACAGTATTCAGAACGATTCAACAGTGCACTAAATGTCTATTACTTTGAAAAACCTACTGAGTCAGGATGTCTTTTGTACCTACCGGGTTAATGGTCTTAGGGTTAAGTTTATCACTTGGTCGAGGATGAAGTTTTCTTGCAGTCTCTGGAGAACTGGTTGAGGATGAGGAGTTGCTTTTTTGAACTGTAGTCCTATGTTTTATTTGTATGCTTGACGATGTCCTTTGATCACAGCTACCTGGAAAAAAACAGAAGCTCAACCAAGAAAAAGAGGTGAAAGAGATAAAGCTCACTCTTATTCATCTGCATAACAATGAGTCATTAACAAACTTCACCTCTTCATTTAAAAAACAATGTTCCGTACCTGCCTTTCTGTTTCTCATATGTACTCCTCCATGGCACTCTGATTTCTGCATTGCTTCCCTTTTACTCCTGCAGTTAAATAAAACTTGATTTCAGAATTTGGGGAATGAGGGATTCATTACCGACGTAAGACCAAAAAAGAACAGAGTAGAAAATATAAAAAAGATCCACAAAAAAGGTATGGCATGGAACCAAATACCAGAAAGACCAATGAGAAAATATGAAATTATATCAACTTCAATAATATCAATAACAGCAAATGGAAAACAATCTGTAAGAAAATAAGATGTGTAAGAATAAACTTTCTTTTCCATTCATATTGTCAAAATATGCTTTTAGAAACTCAATTGCAAACCTCTGGTTATATTCAGAAAATATGGACTAGATGAGAGACTATGGACTCTGAGAAACAAACTGAGGGTTTTAGAGGGGAGGTGGGGTGGGGGATGGGTTAGCCCGGTGATGGGTATTAAGGAGGGCACGTACTGCATGGAGCACTGGGTGTTATATGAAAACAATGAATTGTGGATCACTACATCAAAAACTAATGACGTATTGTATGGTGACTAATATAACATAATAAAATTAAAAAAAAAAAAAAAAAGATTTCTGAAAGGAGAAAGTGGTTGGCACATCCCCTAGCATCTCTCTCTGGCCTTGTATTCCCAAAGTTCCAAACACTAACATCAGCATATCAAGTCCTATTTTTCAAGTGACATAATGAACTCTCCTACTCAATGCACTACAAGCTCCTTAAACTGAACATAACCAAAACTAAGGTTATGGACCCCTTGTTAATTCAAGATACCACCAATTTTCTGGTCCCTCATGCTGAAAAATTTAAGATCCTCTTTCCCTTCACTTCCTACACTCAACCCTACAGATGTGATCAATGTGGTGTGATAAGGTAGAAGGAGCTGTTGGCTCAGACCAGGGTCTTTATCCTCATCTCTACCAATTATGAATTTTGGCAGATTATTTAATCTCCCTAAGTCTCAAGATTTCCAGACCTATTAAAATGGGAGAATAATACAAGTCTATGAAGACTGTTCCTGAGGAGTAAATAAGTTGCTCATCCATCCAGTGCTCAACCAGCCAGTGAAGGTTCACTTCTCCCTCTTCCACAAGTCCCTCTTTTCTGCTAATGGGAGGACTCTAGTTTGCAGTGATGATTTTCTGCCTAATCAGAGTACTTCTAAACTTTCATCTCTACCAAAGAACCCTCCATCACACGCACCCAGATTCATATACCCAACTGCCGGCTAGTATTTCTAGGTCTAGCTCCAATCCCAAATAGTATGCAGCCTTTCCTGATCTTCTTTCTCTGTTTCTCAAATGTACACTTCCATGGCACTCTGATTCCTGCACTGTTTCCTTCTTATTTCTACTAGATCACTCCATTCCCTCACTTGCACAGCACTCCAGTCATTCTTCCACTAGAGCATTTCCCACTTTAAGCCTTTAATATTGTTATTAAATATATAAACTACCCCTCAACTACACTGTAGGATCTTCCTTTAAGGCTACACAGGTGAAGTCTTCTTCCACTTCCAAATGACAGTTTTTCAAATAGTTGAAATCAGACTCTCAACTCCTTGTAAAGGATAAACACTGGTGCTTTTTCAAGTGATTCCTCATGAGATTATTTTAATCTACTTGACAAATTAGAAATCTTCACAAGGATGCAACTCCATGTAATTCAGACCCAAAATATTTCAAGCATTATGTGACCATTTCAAAGTGCCTTGTAAGGATAAATTAAATGTAAGATTGTTTCATACACAGAACAATTTTAAATTTCAACTTTCTTGATTTAATATATTGACCTAATTTTTCTCATCCTACTACCAGCAGATGACTTACCTCCCAATATCACACTTCACACTCATTCCCAAGGCATTTTTCACAATTATGGTAATTAATGCCTCATTGAATTTGTCAGATAATATTCTAAGATAAGGTAAGGCAGGCTTTAAATATGTCGACCTACACTGCACTTCAGTGAATGTTCAGCAAGTATTTACTATCGTACCAGTTTCTGCTTTGAGAAGGTCCTGATGGGAATAGTATGATCTAAGTTTCTGTTTAAATAAATAAATCTGTGTCTCTGCTTCTTCAAATGTAATTGGGGGTAATTATTTAACTACTTTAATGTTGATTAAGACTAATAAATTAATATTTAATTTTGATCGTAAATTTTAATAACTGTTATAGCTGAAAAGAAGCCCAAAGATCGTACCCACAAACATAAGAAAAGCAGAGTTGGCCACATCAAATCATGATGCACATATTTCAACACTACCTATCAAATCTACAAAAGTTTTTGTTGGAACAACAAATTTCTATCTTCCTTTATGTGAAAAAGTTGTTCCTGAGAGGTACTACTAGGAAGGTGCTGCATTATATTTTGAATGAGCTCCAAAAGCCATGGAAATTCTTCATTTAAAAAATTTTTATAAAACATGCCAGAAAATTGAGCTTCCAAAGGTTTTACGCATACAGGGCAGTTTTTACATTTAATATTCTTACGTAACTTCCAGGAATAACATCAAAACACACATACACGATGCAAACATTTCTATGTCTACTTTCAAAACACTCTATATTAGAGAGCTTCTTTCCAAAAAACAAGTATTTTTCACTTATTGTTAAAAGTATCACCCTTTACCTTACCAATTAAGTATTCTCAATTTTTAAAAATAATATCCATCTGGCGGGGGTGCCTGGGTCACTCAGTTAAGCGTCCAACTCTTGATTTCTGCTCCGGGTCCTGAGATCCAGCCCCCAAGACTGGCTCTGTGCTCAACACGGAGTCTGCTTGAGATTCTCCAACCCCCCACCCCCGCGCACTCTCACTCTAAAGTAAATAAATAAATAAATAAAATTTTTAACGAACTATATCCATCTGGGAGCATACCACTGACAACAAGACTGGTACATGAGTTGTCTATAGAAGAAAACTGCTTTATTCATCTTACACTTAATTCTCTTGAGTGCTTTTCCATTAACACATGGAGGGTGGTGTAAAGAGGTAATAAGAGGAAGTGAAAAGCTAAGAACTATTTTGTGCTACAAATATTATCAGTCACCTCTCATTCTTTTACAAAACAATACAAAGATTCTAAACAGGCACCAGAGTCCACTTGACCCAAACATCTAAACTATGTCACAATATCAGAGAGCAAGCCGACCAAGCAAGGTCCACAGTGGAACCCTCACTCTTCCTTAGTTTCCTTAGGTGCTGTGGCCCATCTGCTCATCTGAAAGGGGCTGTGGATATCTGTGTCAATGATAGGAAAGCATACTTTTGTTTCATTATTTTGGATAGGTCACATATCCTATTTCTTTCCCCATATGCATTTTCTTCCCGCACCACGCTCTGAGACCACTGCACTCACTACAGGGCTTGCTAAATTATCAGGGGGCAGGACCACGTTTCTTCCAACTCTCTCATCCATTGTTTAGAAAGTTCCAAAAGTGTAATAGGTACCCCACTAAGGAAGCCATGATCCATCTCTAGGGCCCCTTCCAATTCTAAAGTGCAGCGACAGAGCCCAATATCCACCTATCTCAATTCCTTAGTTCGCAAAGTAAATCCAAAGGGCCAGCATTAACAGTCTTAAAATCTGCTTTCCATTTTCCTACCCTCTTACCCTCCAACACCATACATTTCCAAATACTTAAGAACAGTTCAAAGACAGGGTGCTGTCAAAGTTAGAAAATAAGGACGACGTGTAGGCGGAAAAAAAAAAAAGTGTTTTGTTTTGTTTTGAAGGGGGGGCGTTGACGGGCAGACGGCCAGTTTTCCATTAAGGCCAACGAGGGCTACTCTCCGCCAAAGCCAGACCCCTAGAAAGGAAGGGTGCGCTCTCGGCGCCCGGCAACTCTAAGGTCCTTGGCAACGGAGTCCGGCGGCCTTAGCAACAAGCCAGCGAGGAAGCCGGCTGGGCCATGACAGCGCGGACGGCACCGCGGAATCCCCACACCCCCGGCCCAGGGCACCCACAACCCGTTCCTACCGCGCCTCTCTCCCGCGGCGATCCACACACCAGCCGCCACGCCGGGTGGGAGTTTTGCCCGGCGCCCTCTCCCAACTACCCCACTCCCGTCACACGCCGCCGGGATTCGGGGAAAATGACGCTGCGCGCGGTGCCCGGATTTGGCGGCGCCGCGCAGTGACGTCAGACGCATGCTGCGTCCTCTAAGCCTCTAGCAGAGAGGATGCAAAGGCGCCGAGCAGAAGAGGGTTGCCCTGGCAACGAGGCGCTCGGAATTGAAAAGGGCACCTTCCAGCTAGTCAGGCGTTGTGTGGTGACAAAGGGGGCACCTGGTGGAGGGTCTTTAAGAACTGCTGAGAAGTCCGGGGAGCAGAGGAGAGCACAAACTCCGAATTCCCTGCACCGCAATCTTTCCCCAGTCCGTGTACTTACCTCTTTAACACTTCTCTCGCGCACTTAAAATCCTGTTTTCTCCACGTGCTCAGGACCATGAACTCCAGCCCCAGGATGTTCAGGGGAGGGAGCCCTCTGCCTGCCCAGCTGTAGAATTTCGTTTCCTCTCATAACTTTCTAATTCACATGCCGTCGTGTTCAACTACATAATACATCCATATTTCAATAAAGTGCGTGTGCTTTTTAACTTAAGATCATTTTTTAACTTTTAATAAATCTTTTTAACTTTTAATAAAACTGATGCTGCAAAAAATGCACGTCCTCTTGTGATTCCACCAAAAGCAATTTGGATTGTCATAGTAAAAAGCCCAAGCCCTTCAGATCTGTGCACTGCATTCTTTCTGTTGTCATCCCAGAGCCTTCACTTTTTGTTCAGGTAACAGCTAACTACACAATTGTCACTGTCTGAGCAGTCCAGGCAGTGCAATACCTCCCTGTCCTTGTAGCTCCGTTCTTGCTTCCTGAATTACTGCTGTGGAAGTTTCTTCGACAGGCTGTAGGTTTCTTCATGACAATGACTGACTTTTCCCTTCGATTCTCCTTCTAGCACAATGTAGCAGGGACTCAGGAAATACTCTTTGAATAAATGAAATGAACAAATGAATTCTATGTA